TGAGGTCAACACAGCCAGCTTACTCGGCATTCGACTCGTTCTGCCGCTCGGGGAAGAGTAATCTAATGGATGAACGTCAATGGATATTTGCGTCTCCTAATCACTTGACCGCACCTGACAAGTTGACTTGTTTCACTGTTATGTTCAGAAACGAATGGATTCAAATCAAACATATCGTTCAGAAATTAGTAATTGCCATAAAATAGATACTGCATTCGGCGCCATTAGGTGGAGGCGTTCGATGTATCTATTCTATATATACAAAGGACTACGCGAGAAAGTTTTGTTCTTTTTGGTTTTTGAACCTCCTAATGCTATTATTAATACTGAATTTTAGAATTCTGTAGATTAGATAATTACGTTATTTTGTAAAGCTGGCATTTTTTTTTTATTTTCGAGAGATATTTCACTCGGTAAATCACTATAGCAGGTAAAGAATAAAGAGAATATTCCTTAAACATTGTTGTTTTATGTGAAACTCCGTCTGCAAAATATTAAGCTTTAATATCATTTACATTGTATCCGATATTTCAAGTTTTCAACTGTAGTTCTAAATGTTAGAAAATATTCCGTATGTATGTGTACGAAAAGATGGCTTAAATTACGATTTGTAATTTAAGCGAGTATAAAAAAAAAAGCTTGTGCCTTCTTTATGCGTTGCCAACTGCGAGAATTTAAATTGTATTCTAAGTATTTAAGTATCTGTTTAATATCTTATCTTTTTACTTAATTATCTAAAAAATCGGTAATACAACAGATTATTTATGTCAGAAATTGGTACGTTAGTGCAGTTATTCTAATTACGAAACTCAAAATGTGCGAAAGAGAAAAAATACGGTAACCATGCATGAATTATTTTTTTTTATATATTCGAACAATATAAGATACACACATGTCGATAAAACAGCAAAAATAAATCAAAAAGTCGTGATTTACCGTCATCGTGCGATGATGCATGTATCCTCAAGTAAGGAAAGCGTTTCGCGCGCGAGACAACACATGACGCATGCAAAAGAACAGGTTAATAATGTGCAGTAGTTCAGAAATATCAGGAAAACATGACTTGACACCTTATCTATTATTAACGAAGTTAAATGTTATTGGTAATTAATGCTATTTTGAATTATTCATTCTATCATAGAAAAATTCGAACTTACAGGATATCTATACTAAATGTAAAAATAGATCGATAATATAATATATTATAATATGGTTTCCAATATAATAATCATTATCATTAATTTTACAATGTATATTCAATGACTTAATTTTCAAAAATATTTAGTTACAAATACAAAAAAAAATCAACTTATTGTTTGTTTTTGATTGGCGCTTTTGAGTTTTGCCGGCGGCCCTTTGAAATGTCACCAGCTGAGGGCCGCGAAACACCCGTTGTACTCACTAATTCTTCAAAAATCTTCGATGTTATCGATCAGCACTTTCGATTATTTGAGCATATGTGCATGTTAGTATTGATATTAGTTTTGAACGATATTGCCAATTCGTGATCAAGGTCGCGTTTTAATATTAATCGAAAGTATTCCATGACTTATAGTCTATAAATCATGAAGCTCTTTCGGTTGTAACTATGTAGGATGCATATTTTGCCATTTCCCGCGAAAGTATCATCGACTATATTTTGAAGTTACGCGCCGATCTTTCTTAGGTTTCATCGGCTGATTAGATGCGGGATTTAATTTTCACTATGGGCGATTAATTAACGGCTTTTTAACTTAAAGTAAATCAAACCACAGCTCTATATCTCAAAAGTCATGTTGAGCTGTTTGTTCACGACTTTGTCATTAATGCATGTGACGACTGTCGTTTGAATCGGTCTCTGACCCACATTGAACTTGATAAACCTCAACTCCAAGATGCGATTTGAATAAATTATCGAAGAATATCTTTTCACAGTTGAGTCATACAAACTTGGTATACAATGTAATATATTTGATATACAATTTAGTGTACAAATATACAAGGTAAATAAATTAAGAGCCTCTTTCATCATCTCTCCTTAAACTGATTTTAACAAAAAGGCTCTTATATAATAAAAATGTGCGTTCCACATCCTCTGTTTAACGGTCGTTAGGGCCAAAAACAGTTAAAAGGAGCACGTGGAACTTAAAATTTATTTTGAAAATAATTTTTTGTTAAAAGTAGTTTTAAAAAGACATGGTGGGAGAGACCCTAAAAGAGATTTTTTTTTGTAAAATAAACGCGAAATGATAACTTGAGACCTCATTGTGAATTGTGCGTTATGAAATTCGACTCCTTTAGTAAAATGTTTGCTGGAATATATTTGCAAATTTTCTTCATATTTTATATTAGTTTTAGTTGTTAATTTTAAACACATAATTTTTTTTAAATTGATATTTCGAGAAATTAATAAATATGTTAAATTTTGCATCATAAATCTAGTATACAACTTGTAATACTTGCGCGAGTCCCTCTTACTCCCTCTCGCTTCCGTGAAGCCCTTTTCAGGGAACGTTACCTGTTTCGTTACGAAAACTCCGAAGCTTGTCGATTTACGTTACAGTAGCCGAGTCACTTTTGCGACCGATATTAATCTCCTACGTGTTAGTTATATCTGGTGCGCCGGCGGCGCGCTCCTCATGCGCAGGCGCCGGCGGCCGACGGGCCGTCACCGGCAACAAAGTGACGCAACGGCCGGCAGTCGCGCTCCACTGGCACTGTCTCAACTCCTTTTGATTTTATTTCCCCGGGAGCGGTCGCCTCTCGTTACGTCCCCGTTCGCTATCGGCCAAATTGAATTTACCGACGATATTATTTAGACGGCGATGGTCGCTGCGGCGCTTAACTCATTCCGAGGGTTATTATTACTTCATTTTTTTTTATTATATATTTCTTTTTTACTTTGACGATCTCAAAGAAACCGCATAAAATGTTGTTGCGGTTACATCATCGGAGCTCTGCGTGTTGCAATATGCTTCTTATAATATTATCTACCTTTCGGTTAAGGCTTCAATTAAATCGTATAAATTTACGATTGTGAAGGACGCGGTGAATCGTGTTGCCGTTTTGCTTGTTAATGCATGTTAGTTACATCTAGATTAAAAATAATACCTAAAGAGGGCAGACATGATTATAATGTTACGAATTCATACTGAATGTAGGTGATGGGAATGCTCTTTCTTTGTCAAATGCTCGACTGCGTCTCTTCACCATATGCATATAAGTGAAAGTGAACAAAATGGCGTACGCAATCATCATTTGCATTAAAAAAGTAATATTTAAATAACATTCTTTGATTATCCTCATTATAATTTATAAAATAAAAAATGGCCAAGAGCATGTCGGACCAAGTTCATTTATTACAAAGCAAGTTCATTTATTACAGCCTTTATTACAAAGAAATGCACTACAAATGAAAAAAATACGTTATACGTTTTCCATGTTTCCCGCATAGAATAGTTATAAACACTAGTCGCCTATAACTAGGAAAACAAGTAGGCATGTCGACTATTACTATTAAACTAGTGCGAACTAAAGTGCATTAACAAAAGGGCGTATTTTCATGGCACTTCGTCCTTTTGTTTAGAAGCCCATTTTTTCGGCAATAACTCTAAAACAATATATTCAGTTATTTTCAAAAAATATTTTTTAAATTACATATTTATAATCTTTACCTTTGTGATTTTTTATATTTTTTGGTCATACGGTTTAAAAAATAAAGAGGGGGACACAATTTCTGCTGATTTCGGAGCGATTATTTCCGTAATTACCCGACTGCCAAGGAAGCGAATTTTTTTTCGCGCGTATCTTTTATGTTTGTTTGTAAATTTCTTTATACCCACGTATCTTCCAATCGGCTGGATGTACTTCGACAATTAAGGTATCATTAGATTCCTTTCAAAAACCCAAGTGTCCTTAGACAGATATTAAAAGAAAATTGGCGGATTTTAGCGCCAAATTGTAAGTAGTTCAAAATTTTTTAAACAAACCTATCGAGTAAGGTATGAAAATAAAGGAAATTAAAAGGAGATTACAAAAATATACACATGTCATGTATTTAAATTTAATCAGGAATAATTACAACCATTTTAATTCATTCATTCTAATAAATTTGTAATCAATGCATTCAAATGGTCGTATTTTTGCTTTAAGTAAATCGGCCAAGTATATGTTGGATGTCGTATTATGTATTTTTTCGCGGTTCGCGATTCTTTTTGCATGTTACTCACTGCTAGATGGGGCTGTTTGTATTTTAAACAATACACGCTTTCGTTCATAGCAGTGTGCCGGACGGAACACTAAAAAGTCTAAAATATAATAAAAAATTAAAAAACCCAACTGCGAAAAATCAATAGATAAGCAAAGCACTAAAAAGACCGAAACGAGATTGAGAAAACAAACTAATAAAACCTAATAAACTTTACTTTGGTTTAACAGACTACATTACGAGCTGAAAGCCCAAGTTAAATAATTTACGTTATGTTTGGAAGTAGGCGGGACCCATTAATTTTCTTACGATTTATAATTTGCAAATTATTAACGTAACCAGAAAAAATGTTTAGAAACCTTACAGTGTTTTTTAAAAAACTGTCGTAATATGTACCACATGTTGATGTTTGCTGAAAAAAATTTTTTGAGCTTCTTTTCCGTGTATGGAGTGTCCTCTCAAAATATTTATTTTTGTTATTCAACTACCTAAGTAGCGACTTATACAAGAGACCCACACTATAAATTTTATTAATATACGTCTTGTAGTTTTTGAATAAAATGCCTGTGACATACGGACGGTCGGACATGACGAAACTATAAGAGTTCCGTTTTTGCCATTTTGACTCGGAACACTAAATAGGGAATTATAAATGATATACAAGCACAATGAAATAAATTAACAACTTTGAAGTAATGAAACGAAAAATACAACAAAAAAAAATGGAGGAAATGTAATAAAATATTATAGTAGAAATTATAATTAGTTTTATATTATAAATTACCATAAAAAAAAGGAACACCAAAAAAAGCCAACGTCACGCGGTGTTCCCAAGCGGTCACCCATCCAGGTACTAACCGCAACTGACGCCGCTTAACTTCAGTCATCAGACGAGAACCGGTGTATTCAGCGTGGTATAGACGTTGACAAATCAATTTATAAAAATGTTAACTAAAGCAACAGCGGTTAGCATTTTTCATTGCGGTTACATTTTCTTTCGTGTAGCTCTCATATGCCGAGTGCCTAAGTGTAAAGTGCGATAAGGAACTTCTTTCCCAAAGTAGATCAAAGAGAAAATTGGACCTCGCATTTAGGATTCCGTATCAACGACCGAAAGTTTTAATCGTATAAGGATATCACTATTTATTAACATGAAAAAAATTATATGAAATAAATGCAGCGTGAAAATCTGTTACAAAGGTAGAGGTACCTATCGTCCTAAAACAAATACGCATGGCCATATGTATTGGTGATAGTCAATATTAAAAACTAAAAGTTATGGATACATAAAAAGCTTTTAAACAGATTTTGCTTAAAATTGTATTCCTTGAATCTGTATTATTATGAACTTTGCCAGATTATTGAAACTAATATACCGTATAATATACACTTGAGATAAAAAGTCCCTTAAGACTATATGTAATTTTAAATACTATATTTCATTTCTAACTACAGCAAACACAATGAAGTGCGAGATTTTTTTTTCGTCCCTGAGTTTATTTATAATACGATGTAATTTGTAGTTTACAAAATTATAATGTTTATTACATAGTATTTTTTTCAAATTTAAAGAGAAAGACATAATTTTTTTTGTGATCCACTCTTCTTTCTTGTGACGCCACGTAGACGTCAGCGGTAACCGCTTACACCTCGTCTTTTATTATTTAGTTTCAGCCGTTGAACGTCCACTACTACATACGTGGACTGGACATAACCTTTTTCCTAGCCACGTCGTACCATCCCGGACTATGTTTAACCGAAGGTGGCAAAGATCTCGGGACAGACTTAACAGATCCTCAGTCCACTAGAGGGAGGCCTTCCCCCTCTGCGATGTTCACTTCGTGCTCGCCACTCGAGGACTTTTCGTCCCCAGCTGTTATCGATTTTACTAGCGATGTGGGTTACTTATTACCAGCTGAACTTAGTCAGTCTATGGACTATGTCGCATCTTGTACCGATTTCCTCATTACGGATTTTATCTCGCAAAGGAAGACCGATCATAACTTTTTCCATCGCATGTTGAATGACTCTGAGCTTGTTTATGAGATCAACAGCAAGACAATGTCTAATACCCATGTATCGTCACTGACAATGCACACTATTCAAAAACATAGACACTGTTGTATATTGGATTTGAAAATGTCGCGTAATCTGTTTTCTTTGACCATATTGGTTCTCGCTTCATCTTAAATACCATTAATTACATACTCCGTTAAAAAGTACACCATTACACAGTCCGACTATTTACTATGACAGTTTTTTTAATGAATAATATTTTCCAACAGATGATTTATCTCCATTACTTTTAAAGGCTACATTGCAATTACGGAATGACCACATTACTTCCATGAACTTGCTAATAATTGATGAAATTTAATTAAACGTTTGTCTGTTACCGGATTTATTGCTGCGCTTATAACGCGAAGCGTTTGAGGTAGTGCATCGCTTTCAACTTGCCAAAAACAAATGCTGTCTTAAACATAGATAAGCATACTTGCCTATGCATATCGCACTTTTATTTTAATATGAGTACACTAATATGTGCAAAAAATATCCTTTTAACATTATTATTATAATAATAAATTAATGCTTATTGCGTATTATATAAAAAAAATGAAAAAAAAAATATGGACGTCCACGTGTCTGTACGTATGGAATCCGTGAGCAGTCAAGATAACGTTCGAAATACTCAACATATTTAGATCTTTTTGTTATTATTCACTTTAAACTTGCTTCCCCTGATTTCATATTGAAATTTGCTGTTTAATTCATTGTCGTAGAATTGATATTAATATAAAACTAAAATTGCCTCGTATTTTGTATATCTATGTATATATATTTATCTATGAATAAATAAAGTTTTAACTTTAGGCAGGGGATGGGCATTAATTAGCTGATTTATAATTAAAGCATATTGCGCACGCGTCTTATTCTTCTCGTTCGAATCGGAAATGCCGCGAAATTTAAACTATTTGTATTTGCTTGTTTTTACATTTTTTCTGTTTTTCAATGAGCGTTATGAGGCGTGCACCAAAGCCGTGCAAAAAAAAATTTGGAATATCCTTAAAAATTTTCCAAATCTTTTTTATTTAACTTTCCCGGAGAATGAATTCTTTTTCCAATTATTCCTAACACTTTTAAATAAAGTTTGTACGATATAAACAAAGAGTATTTAATCAGCTGCGTGCCGTGAACCACTACGTTTCTACTGATCAAGCGTTAACTTGTTCCGCTCCGCTCATCAAATTGGACATGGTGTACGAAATCGCTAATTGCTCCAAACGTTTACACTTCAGTAGCGACCTCTGTGCACAAACTTCGATAGGTAATGAACTTTTGTTGTCTTATTCTAATTATAGAATGATCTCAATTATAAATGAACATTGTATTTCTACTGAGTGAAAATGTAAACGTTTATGTTTACGTGCTAAGTATAGCTGCTGCCTCCGCAGTTAATTATCTCATGGTTGTGAGGTTTTACTCACCCTATTGCTGAGGTATACTTTAACAATATTTTTGTTTCAGATTGAGAGATTAAGATGTAATATTAAGTTATGTAGACGTTGTAATTTAACGAAAGTTTAAACTGGTGGAGAGGAGGATAACTATACTTTTGCTTTTCAAAATGGAGTTAACTTGGAAAAACTATACTTGTGAATTTCAGGCAAGTTCCGAATGTGCGCTAATGGGAGAGTATGATTAGAGATTAATAGACTACAGCTACAAATGATTATTCGAGAAATCTAATATAATGTTTAAGCATAATAAATAAATACAATGATATAACTTATGATGTAAGCTGACTTTAAAAAATAGTAGCTCGATTTTAAGGAACGGAGGTGTATATTTGTGGATGTCAGCCTTCGTCGGTGTTTTGTAAATTTTCTGACGAACGCTGTCCATGTGACTGGTTCATGGAGTCCTTTTGATACCGGAAGATTACTGGGCCAGATCGAGAAATTTACTTTGGGCGTGTGATAACGTAGCCCAGTGGCTAGATGCCAGGCGCTTCAGCTTTTCATAGCCTTGAACTCATGGTTGGGCATCAAAAACTGAAAGAATTGATAAAGGGTATTAGTGGCCCTTTTAATATTCGTCTACTTTGTAGTAGTGAACTGCCCAGTAGCGTGACACTACAGCTCCGACCGTCAGCTGCCAAACGCTAGCAGCCGTCTCAAATGTTTATTATTGTACATTCTGTGTCGAAAAAGTATGTACTACCGCACGACGAGCCCTCGTTCGAATGGAACCGTCCAGATATTCATCCACGTCGTATTGAGGAGGGTGAGGTAGGTATTAGCTAACTAGCAGATATCCCAAGAATTGAGCTGCACTGGCGTACGTAAGGTTTACAAGGTGGAAAAATAGGACACAAGTAGAATAGAGGAATCAAGGATGGGTCTAGAATAAAGACATGACCAATAAAGCGAAGGAAAGATCAGAAATTTTAATAAATTAACTAGTGAAATATAAATATAAGCACGGGAGTGGGATAGAAAATGCCATAGCCGTTTTAAGTGAGGACGAAAAGAAAAGGTTTACGAATAAAAAAGCGATGGACGATGTCATGTTATCGTTGGCTGTCTAGATGATGTATTGTATTATTATTTAAATTAAACTAGTGAAAAACTTAACAATATAGAAACCGCCACAATAGGTAGTGGGGTAAGAGTGGTGGTAGCCGAATGGTCTACACTCGCCTTCGACACCTACGAAAGTAAAGAATTCGCTATGCACGATCGCAGACGCGTAGTTTTTGACCAATAAGTATTTCAATCAAGTATATAACATATCAATTGTTTCGTGCCTCCAAAAGCATCTCTACTACTCTGGTATTACGGCATTGATGGTAGTGGCTTTATCGAACCGAAGCTTGAAGGGATTAAGGTCAAATCCCATAAGCCATGAATACGATAAGATAATAAAAATCATTGCGATGTAATGACAAAAACACCTTTGCCGTTCTTATTTAATGGAAACTCATAAGTACTAAATTTAATTCAAGAATATTCTTTGGAAAGTTTCGCTCGGTATTTGAGCATTGCCTGCACTTTGTCAAAAGTAATCTTAAAATTTTCGTCTATATTGGAATACTTTATCAGACATTGCCCATTTTCTCAAGAGTTTGCTCATTTCAAAGTTGACGTGTATGTATTCTACACGACTAAATAGTTTTCAAATTTTGTGCTTTATCGAAAATTGAATGCAATATACTGGAATTGCAACAATTATATTATGCGTCTATGAATGTCTCATTTTTATTAGCGGATGTTTTGCGTGATATAAAAAAATTAAACCGATAATGAATTGTATCATCAAAAAGCAAATACGAATATAAGCTGTAATTGTTTTTGTTTCCCATTTGTTACTAATATTCAATTTGAAATTTCATAGGTATTACAGGTAACTAGACAAACAATATATTCTAATGACGTGTTAGACGGTATATGCTCGCAACTGACTTAAATTATATGCCATGATTATATAGAGATTTTGACAAAAGAACCTCAATAATGTTCAGACTTATGAATCATGGTCATGCATTGATTCTTGTGCAGTCAGTAGTATCAAGTTACTGTTTAAAGGAATCACCAAATAAGTCAGATGATAGTTTTTTGACAAGTTAGGCCATCGATTTTTTATACTACATTATCATTGAACAATAGATCAGATTGTCATCGTGAATCGTTGAGATGTATGCTTGTTTGCGTGTAATCGTTTGTTTTAAGCATTCAAAATCGAGAACTGGATGACAATTGGGAACGGGGACGTGATTTGGACTGAGCAAGATCGCTCGATATAAAACATGACGTATGAATTCTAAGGTCCACGCGGATCGCGGGCAAAAAAGTGATATATAAATATTTTAATTTTGTTTACTTTATTTCTTATAAAACCAAATGGATAGATTTTGAATTATTGTTT